AAAATTTGATTGACATCATTAGCCACAGGGAAATGCAAATTAAAACCGCAATGAGATACCACTTCACACCAACTAGTATGGCTTAAATTAAAAAGACAGATAGTAACAGGTGTTAGCAAAGCTGTGGAGAAATTGGAATTCTCTCATATGTGGCTGATTGGAATATAAAATGGTACAACCACTTTGGAAAACAGTCTGGCAGTTTCTCAAAGGTCAAACATATTTACCCTGTAATTCCACTCCTACACATATACCCAAGGGAAATGAAAACAGATGTACACAAAACCTTGTATATGAATGTTCATAGCAGTGTTATTTATAATTGCCCCCAAATTGAAACAACCCAGATGTCCATCAGTTGATGAACAAATAAAATGTAGTATAGTTGTTCAATGAAATATCACTCAGTCATTGAAAATGAATGAAGTGCTGATACATGCTACAACAAGGGTGAGGTTTGAAAACATGCTAAGTGAAAGAAGCCAGTCACAAAGGACCACATATTGTATGGTTCCGTTTATATGAAATGTTCATATAAATCTGTAGAGACAGAAAGTCAAGTAGTGGTTGCCTATTGTTAGGGAGAAGAGGTAGCTTAGCGAAAAATGAGGAGTGGCAGGTAATGGCAAAAGGGTTTCTTTTTAGTGTAATGAAATGTTCTAAAATTGATTATGGTCATGATTGCACAACTCTGTGAATATACTAAATAAAAAGCACTGGTTGTGCATTTCATGTGGTTAATCAGATGGTGTGTTAATTATATCTCAACAAAGCTGTTAAAAAGTATGAGGATATTATGAAAAACCTCACTCCCCCCAAAATTCATCTACTTAGATGAAATGTACTTATATATCAAACTGCTCTTTTAAAAGTCTTAATAAAATGAACACAAAAATAAATAAAAAATTGAATAGTTATATAGCTGTTTAAAAAATTGATTCTGTAATGGAAGTCCTCCCATACAGAAAACTTCAGTTTACTATATTTCAGAGATGACTTATTCCAAACATTTAAGGAAAAATATAGCAATTATAAACGTTCTTCAGAAAATAGAGAGCACTTCACAACATGTCTTGTGAAGCCAGCATAATCTTGATACCAAAATCTGACAAAAACATTATAAGAAAAATGACAGGCCAATGTCTCTCATGAACATAAATACAAACATTATAAACAACATAGCAGAAAATTGAATAAACTTTTCTATAAAAAAAGATAACAAATTATGACCAAATGAAGTTCATTCTAAAAACACAATTTTGGATTAACTTTTGAAAATCTGTGAAATTAACCACATTAACAAATATATGAGGGAGATCACATGATTAATAGATGCAGAAAAAGCATTTGACATAATTCACCCTTTCAAGAAAAAATTAAAATAAACCTCTCAGCAAACTAGAAGTAGAAGCAGGTTATTCAACTCAGACCATCAAATATATTTATCTCATGTCCCCCATGTTCTATAGACACAATGAAGGGAAAACACTAATGTGTTTATCTGAACAATGCCTAGGGGATGATAAAGCAGACTTGGAAGGAACCCGGGCCGTTGAGTGCCCGTTTAGTAGTGGGGCTGCTCTACAACCCCGGACCATTTACATTAGCACCGTTAGGTTAGAGAAACTTAAAAGATCTTTTTTCTTTGATTGATTGATTGATTGGAGACAGAGCCTCACTCTGTCATACAGGCTGGAGTACAGTGGTACTCACTGCAACCTCAGCCTCCCGGGTTCAAGCCATTCTGCCTCAGCCTCCTGAGTTGCTGGGATCACAGGCATACGCTACCACGTCCGGCTAGTTTTTGTATTTTTAGTAGAGGTGGGGTTTCGCCATGTTGGCCAGACTGATCTCGAACTCCTGGCCTTAAGTGATCCACCCGCCTCAGCCTCCCAAAGTGCTGGGATTATAGGCGTGAGTTTGTTCTTTTAGTCACTGGTGATGGTGTCTTTTTGTTACGGTGGCTTAGCCACACCTCTATTAATGCAGAAGCTGGCATGTATTGCATTTCATTTGAAAGCATAGATGATTTGAAAGCATTTGATGATCAAGATGACTACGCATCAAAAATGTTTACCCAAGAAGGTTACAGAGTGTCTATCTGTGCAGATCAATAAAGAGAATTGGGTTGGCCCACAGTGATATGGGACCAGTTTGCTTATCAGTTTAAATTCTGGCATTTGCTAGAATAAAAATAATTGTTTTATTTTGGTATGTATCACATTATCAAGTTTTGGGAGACTTTAAAACACTTGAAGCTGTGCTGATTTATGTATTTTGATGAGCTTAACCATTTACATTTATTATAATTACTGTTACATTTGAACTTAATTCTGCCATATTTCGTTTTGTTTCCCCTCCCCTACTTTTCTTACCTTCTATTGCAGGGGTCCCCAACCCCCAGGCCATGGACCTGTACTGATCAGTGGTCTGTTAGGAACTGGGCCACACAGCAGGAGGTGAGCACAGGCAAGCAAGCATTACCATCTGAACTTCCTGCAATCAGATCAGTAGCAGCATTTAGATTCTCATAGGAGCATGAACCCTACTGTGAACTGTGCATGTGAGGGATCTAGGTTGCATGCTCCTTGTGAGAATCTAACTAATGCTTGATGAGCTGAGGTGGAACAGTTTCATCCTGAAACCATCCCTCCTCCCGGCCACCCGCTGCTTCCCATCCATGGAAAAATTGTCTTCCACGAAACTAATCCCTGTTGCCAAAAAGGCTGGGGACCACTGTTTATTGGATTTAAAAGTCCTATCTCACTCCTTACTCCCACTTCTTTGGGAACCTCTAGGATGCATTTCTTTCTTTCTTTCTTTCTTTCTTTCTTTCTTTCTTTCTTTCTTTCTTTCTTTCTTTCTTTCTTTCTGTCTTTTCTTTCTTTCTTTTAATAGATACAGATATTTTTATTATTTTATTATTTTTATTTTTTCCTTTTTTTTATTATACTTTAAGTTCTAGGGTACATGTGCGCCACATGCAGGTTTGTTACATATGTATACGTGTGCCATGTTGGTGTGCTGCACCCAGGAACTCGTCATTTACATTAGGTATATTTCCTAATGATATCCCTCCCCTCTCCCCACACCCTACGACAGGCCCCAGTGTGTGATGTTCCCCACCCTGTGTCCAAGTGTTCTCATTGTTCAATTCCCACCTATGAGTGAGAACATGCGGTGTTTGGTGTTCTATCCTTGCCATAGTTTGCTCAGAATGATGGTTTCCAGCTTCATCCATGTTCCTACAAAGGACATGAACTCATCTAGGATGCATTTCTATTCTTTTACTAATCACCTTGAAACTTTTAAAATAGTTACTCAGTATTTCTCTTCTAAACATGCCTGCTTTATCCCCATCCAAGCCTGCTGTAACCACACATTGAACACCCCCAAACCTTGCTCAAGCTGATCTTACTATTTTTGTCTTAAATTTTAACCACTTTTAAATGCATAAAATTATGTATGATATGTAATTATGAATTACAAATAATTAAATGTACTTATTTTTAAAAACATGATTGAAGAAATTCTCTTTTCTCGCAATCTCTTTTCTAAGACTAAATGCGGTCCCAGTGCTTGCCTGACACATGGTAGGTTCTCAATAAATGAAGCACACCTCCCAAACCCCTCCACGTAAACAGTTGTCTCTTTAAACCTAGACATGAGTGCTCAGCAGGCATGTATTTCTCTGGGTTGGATTCATTTCATGGACTGTTGTCAAAGACTGACCCCTTTATGTTAATTTTCTGAAAACTGTACTTGACTGTGTTGCAAGCTAAACAGTACAGGATTAAATGTTCTCATTTCTGAGCTGTGAAGTGTTGAAACTAATCAAGTAATGAAGGCAGAAAGTCTGTCCTGTGGGAGAATAATCAGCCAGTCTATGTTGCTCCCACTCTTGGCTGCCGATTGGAATGCAGCTGTTAAGGCAGTTGTTTAACTGTTCGTCCAACTTGAAAGGACACTGCCAAATGGCAAATATTTTCTATAACAACATTTTACTTTTGCTAAGAACAATAACAGTGCATTTTATTGAGCTCCAATGGCATGCCAAATATGACAGATTTATTACTAGGCAGGTTCACAACCTGGACTGAACATGGATGCTCATTTCCATTTTTAATATATTTAGAAAAAGAATAAATAGGCTCCCAAAGGAAGCCTCTAGACAAAACATCTCTACAGCTTAATTATTTGTTGAAATGACAGCATATTAACTTGAGAAAATGAAATATCTCGAAGGGAAAGATGAGAACCTAGAAATATCAAAGGAAAAAAAGAAGGTTTAAGTATTATAAATCTCTCTAATGTGGCCTAAGTGAGACTTAACTCCTACTTGTCCAGGACAGGTGAGGGCAGCAGTAACACAAGGAAATATGTCATCTGTTGAATCCCCTGCAATTTATGGGTCCCAGGACTTCTGAGTCATGCAGTTAATCTACATTGTTAATGAGAATGTTGACACTAAGTACTTAACAAACAATTACGTTGAATTTGACAGACTGTGAACCAGGTGAGGCGGGGTGGGAGGTTATCAGCTGTTATTTAATGGTAAAACCTGTGTGCTAAATGTAGGCAGTCAAAATTAAGAAAACACATTCAAATGTAAAAGTACAATTTTTTATTAGAAGTCAGCAATAACTGCCACTCACAGTAGTTAGTGTGTAATCCCCACAAACATTTATCAAGACTGCAGAGGTGAGGGGTTAAGGGGAGGTGCATTTTCGCTTATTAAACCCCAACAGCCAAAGCTGAAGCAGAGATGTTTTTGAAGGTGAACTGGGTTAATCAAAGGCATGACCCATGGAGATTCTGATCGACTTTTTCTCTACTGTTTACTAGATGTTAATTAAATCACCAATGACAACGGTCTAATAGCAAAATGCATGCATTTCTACAGAGTCCACATGATTTCTTGGACAAAGATAGACAAAGTTCCACGTGCTGGGTAATGGTCACTGAGGGCATCAAGCTTTGTGATCCTCTTTTTCAGGGATACAGAAAAACAGCAAATGCAAATCATGGATGAAATTTATAAGATCACTTCCACAGAAAGGGTCCAGCTTTTGGAGAAAAAACTGGCTGTGCAACTGACTGAACTGAAGTCTGAGATAGAAGAGCAAGGAGCTCTTCAGGGAACAACTAATCGAGTTTACAGGTAAATAGTGGCAGTGAGAAGGTGTGATCTTCAGGGCTTTACTTCCCACTCTCACTCCATAATCTCCATCAGCATCCTTTCTTCTTTTTACATGGACAATTGGCATTATCTCCAGTTCAGATAGATAGTACATAATAGCAGTTTCAGGTACCCATTTCTAACCTGATTGCTGCCTCTAAGATTTTTCTATATTCTAGATTTGTTAAGACAGATCCAAGCAAAAGTCTTACCAAAGAAAATGTAAAAGTGTTTTTACATGTTAACTGATGCTATTGTCTTAAAGTTACAGAAGCTGTAATACAAATCATACTCAGTGAAAGGAGATGTCATTTTACCCAATAATATTTTAGTTGAATTTGACTTTGATTTTGGTGAGAAATTTAAAAGCTGAAATAATGGTAGGCATTTGGTACTACATTATGCAAAACGATATTCTGTGAGTGTTACCAGCACTGTGGATTCTTGCTCTCTGCCAGGATAGAAATCAAGAGAGATCACCAAACAGAGCAGCAAAGGAAAGTTTATTCAGCTTGTGCACAAGGGAGCCAGCACCAAGAAAGGAAAAGGAAAGAGCTGCTCTCCAAGGGTAGTGTGTGGGTTAGTTTTATAGGATCTTTTGATAGAGAAGGGTTACATCAGGGCATATATGGTGGGGGGACTGGGGTGCAGTTTCTAGTGCTCATGCAGTGGCTTAACATGCTTCTTCATACATCAGATGTGGCATTAGCATTTTAAATCTCCACCCAAGGCATTATTCTTAGCACAAAAATGAGGAAGGGGTAACTACAGGTTGAGTTTTAGTTCTAACTGCACATGTGGGGCTTCGTGGAAGTCTGTAGCCCCCCAAAGTAGGAACTCGCTGTTAATAACTTCTTGGGTCTTTTGTTACTGATTTGCTGAGAGTTATGTAAGCTAGAGCGAGAGGGGCTTTTGTTCTTCTCCTCTAGAGCAGATCACAACAGGAAGCCAGCCAGCCTGTTTCATCAGGAGCTCTTCTATAGGTAAATGCTGCCAACAACAGCAATCAAGTTCTTGTAGAGAAACAAGAGACATAGGTCAGGCCCTAATGACAAGTCTCATGGGGCCAGGACCTTCATATCCCTCTGTTTCTGTTACTGCCGCAATTGATCAAAAGGAGCAGTATAAGAACCCTGTTAGGTTGAATCATTGAGAAAATACAATATGGATGGTGAGAGGTGTGGAGAGGTCAGAAGATGCAGTAAGCAGGTGAATTAGTACTTCATTCCAAAGACAATTCTGAAGAACCAGCATTTCATATGTTTTTTAATTAGTATTTAAAACCATCAGGTGTCTGAAGCAAATCAGATTGTGTGATGAGATGGAAAGATCATGGAACTATGCAAGTCATAATTTCTCTCAACTTTGGTTTCTTTATTTGAAAAATGAGGTTAGTACCTTGCCTACCTACATGAGGTCATGAGGATAATGAGATAATGCATGTTAAAGTATTTTTTAAAACAAGAAAACACAATGCAAAGATGGAGTGTTGATATTCTTATGACTTAAATGTCAGAATGTCAAGCAAGTGACTCCCCAGTGTACACTGGGATAAGAAAGGCTTTCTGATGTCTCTTAGAATCGAGTGATGGGAAATCCTGGATTGCCTTATTTGTCTACTCCCCCAAACCACCCAACACTGCACCTGGAAGAATCTATTAGTCTAACAAATGCTTCTTGAGCACCTTCTGTTTTCCAGGTGCTGTGCTAGGTTCTAGAGTCCAAGGAACATGGAAATATCCACTCCCGATAATCCCTTTAACATTCTCATTCCACTAGACTGAAAAATCTATTGAGGCCTGGAGAACTGTGTGTCTTAATCATTTTCCCTTTTTTTTTTGCATCCTTTCCCTCGTTTCACTCCACAAACCCAAGACTTTGCAATGGTTAAGTGTTTCATAAACTCTTGCTGAATGAATAAATGAATGAATGTATGTTGAATGAACAATGCTTGATGAATATAGGAGTAAATCTCTTTTTGCAGGTTGATATACACACTACTTATGTTCACCAGTTTCTTCTGGGTCATTCATAGGCACTTTGAGGTTAACTGAGAGGAAAGACAAGATCCGAATGAGACAGAGCTGGGTAGCTAAGCCCATGACCCTCCTCATCTCCCAGTATGCCAAAGATAAGAAGACCAGAGGGCAGGGGAAAGTTTCTTGTGTTTCTCTACCTACCTGGTAATAGCTAATCCCTTTTCTGGTTGGTTACTCGTTCCTCACTGCCACAACGCTGCAGCCAGGATTCAGAATCACAGAAATTATACCTTAGGTTTATTACTGTTTTTATTCTCAAATCCCTTTCAGAGCTCACCTCTTTTTTCTTCCTCCACCCCATTAAAGCAAAGATATTAGGAGATAAGTGGGGCATTATCTCCAGCTTCAGGGCTGGAAATTTGACACAATGTGTCTAAATGGGTTGCTTAGGCTCACTTGGCTGATGGATTTCTTGACTGTCAGCCTGGGGTTCTTTTCACAGAACCACTGCCTGTAGTGGGGGAAATTGCTGGTAAGTGTACAAACTAACAGTGTATTTTTATCTTCCCTTAAAACTTATCTGGGAACTCATAGGGCCATATGAACAATATTAACCTAAATGTCACTGTTTACACCTCCTTCATAATCTCTAGGTGGTCTCTCACTTGTTTTCTAGACTGCCTGCTCTGGCCCCTTACCAATGTCTGCAAAATACTATCTTGAGAAAGTGATGTTGGCATCAGGGTTGCTGTTTCCTGATATTTCCAAAGCTGCCAAACCTTGGGATATATCTTATCCCAAATGTGGAGCACTTTGCTGTTCCCAACCCAGCATCCCACCCCCTTACCAGGTGACCCCACAGCTTGTGCCTCCTTATATCAGAGTCCATGGTAAAAACAACAGCTCCCTCATAACGCTGTAAACAGGAATTCACAAGGCTGCTTAAACAGGCGCTTCTGCTATAAATGTTTTTCCTAGGAATCAGTAATTTTCCTGAAGCATTAAGTTTGGTTAAAATGATTCCTGAAGTATTTCATCTTTGATATTCAAGAGTCACTCCCACCCCCCAGCAGATAATTCATCAAGAACACAAAAATAGAAGCATTTTATTTTAAATTACACGATATTGGTTTTAAGTGCCAGTTAGGGTGAAAGTGGGATCTGAGAGGCACAATATTTGTCAGAGATAAGGTTGCTGGAGGGAATACAGTTGGGGAAATAAAAATCCTCACCATTGTGTCCCTCCCTTTACTCTGCAGTAGGAAATAGTGAGGTGAATCAAGGGTAGAACGAAATACTCTGTTTGTATGGGGAGGAGAGAGAAAAACTGGCCCAGGGAAAGGTTTAGCAAACATGCTAATCAAAGAAGAATCAAAAAAGATTCTAACCAAAACAAAAGGATGTGGCCTTTGCATGCCCTCAATAATTCAGTATAATATGATATACTTATTCAGAAATGAGCAGTTGTGAAGAGTTACAGATTAATCATGGCCTATCTATAATCCGGTCGATTACAGCTTCTGTAATTACTACTTATATTGCATAAATCTTTCTGCAGCTCTGTTCAAACGCCAAAGGATATTTATTACTTTAGAAGAGAGAGGGAACTGGCACTGAAGCAAACCTTACAGGTGAGTAGGAGAGTGGGCTATTTCTTTTTTTTTTTTTTTTTTTTGAGACGGAGTCTCGCTCTGCCGCCCAGGCTGGGGTGCAGTGGCCAGATCTCAGCTCACTGCAAGTTCCGCCTCCCAGGTTTTCACCATTCTCCTGCCTCAGCCTCCCGAGTAGCTGGGACTACAGGCGCCCACCACCTCGCCCGGCTACTTTTTTGTATTTTTTAGTAGAGACGGGGTTTCACCGTGTTAGCCAGGATGGTCTCGATCTCCTGACCTCGTGATCCGCCCGTCTCGGCCTCCCAAAGTGCTGGGATTACAGGCTTGAGCCACCGCGCCCGGCTGAGAGTGGGCTATTTCAATACAACAGTAAGTTTGATTTTTCTGATTGGTAACTTTTAGCAGGAACAGCTTATTTTTGCAGACAAACAGCTGATGCTATTAACAGTATTTATGAGAACAGGCCACTATTCAGCTTACCACTGGATCAGAGCAGACCCTTATTTCCTTGGAAAAGTCTGATTTTGGGATGTTTGAAATTTTACAGTTCTTTAATTTGGGATATTAAAACTAGTTATTTGGGTTTAGGTGGCCGAGTCGAAGTCCTTTGTTGTTCAGGCGGACATCATGCAGAGGGAGCTAGAGAGCTGCCTAAGAAGGGAGTACACCCCTGAAAATTTACCTTTGCTTCTGTTGCAGGTAAGAGTGATATTGCAATTTGAAAAATTCATTTGAAATTTAGTAGAAATGTATGGGCAAACTGGCTTTCAGGTATATCCTTTCACTAGGGTAGGTTTTGTTTTTCTCGACATGTATAGTTTGCACGACTTGGCTAGTGTAAACGCTGCTGTCAGAGATCTATTTCATAGCTTTAAATTCGGCTTAAAGGCATAGAACAATTGACTGAATTTCTGCTAAATACTTTCTGTGTCGATTATGTAGGGCAATACAACATTGACTAGGACAGTTCCAGCCCTTAAAAAGCTATTGGCTATGGCCAGGCGTGGTGGCTCATGCCTGTGATCTCAGCCCTTTGGGAGGTCGAGGCAGGCAGATAACTTGAGGTTAGGAGTTCGAGACCAGCCTGACCAATATGGTGAAACCCTGTCTCTACTAAAAATACAAAAATTAGCTGGGCGTGGTGGCTCATGCCTATAGTCGCAGCTACTCGGGAGGCTGAGGCAGGAGAATCGCTTGAAACCAGGGGGCGGAGGTTGCTGTGAGCTCAGATTGAACCACCGCATTCCAGCCTGGGTGACAGAGTGAGATTCTGTCTTAAAAAAAAAAAACAAAAAAACAAAAAAAAACTATTGTCTAACCTAAAGAAGACATTTCTGGCTGGGCACGGTGGCTCACGCCTGTAATCCCTGCACTTTGGGAGGCCGAGGTGGGTGGATCACGAAGTCAGGAGATCGAGACCATCCTGGCTAACACGGTGAAACCCTGTCTCTACTAAAAATACAAAAAATTAGCCAGGCGAGGTGGCAGGTACCTGTAGTCCCAGATACTCTGGAGACTGAGGCAGGAGAATGGCGTCAACCTGGGAGGCAGAGCTTGCAATGAGCCGAGATCGTGCCACTGCACTCCAGTCTGGGTGACAGAGCGAGACTCCCTCCCAAAAATAAATAAATAAATAAAAGAAGACATTTCTGAGAAATTTTATTTTATTTAATTTTATTTCACCATGTTGTTCAGGCTGGTCTTGAACCCCTAGCCTCAGTGATCCACCTTGGCCTCCCAAAATGCTGGGATTACAGGTGTGAGCCACTGCGCCCAGTCCTGGAAATTTCTATTAAGAAAATAACTCAAGACATGGGAAAAATAGTTTTCCATAAAGATTATTATTACAGCATTATAATAAAAGTAAAACATTAGAATTGCCTAAATATCCACCAATAAGATAAAGAGTTAAGAAAAACAGTATGGTACATGGTAGAATATTGTTCTGCCATTAAACATTTTTTATTGTTAAATTAAGTTTAGCTTAAAGCTGCCTTCTTGTAAGTTCAGAAACCTTGGTAAGGTTTCTCCCTACATAGTGACCTGTAACCTAACTGGACTGTAAATAGACCATAACCTACTCTTGTAACAAGTAACTGAGTCTCAGCCAATCACAGAAGTCATACTTTAGCCACTTGCAGGCAGCCAACTGTTCAAAGTGTGTTCAAATAAGGCAAACACTGAGCTGTAACCAATCTGACTGTTTCTGTACCTCACTTCTGTTTTCTGTTACTTCACTTTCCTTTTTGTCCATAAATCCTCTTTCGCTGTGCAGCAACACTGGAGTCTCTCTGAACTTACTCTGGTTGGGGGGCTAGGAGGGCTGCCCAATTCATGAATTGTTCTTTACTTAATTAAACTGTTAAATTTAATTTGTCTAAAGTTTTTCTTTTAACATTAGCATAAGGAATTATTATATATGAAATGTTAACAAAAACTAATGTGTGTGTGTGTGTATGTATGTCATAATAATGGTCAAGTATGTATAGAAAAAAATCACTTGAAGGACTTAGACCAAATGTTAATGAATGTTATGTTTGGATGACAGGATAATGAAGTTCTCCTTTCTACTTTTATATGTTTGCTAAATTTTCTATAATAAGTATATATTATTTAGATTTTAAAATTCCTTGTTCTCTATTCCTGTGTTACGAGTTATATCTTACCTATGCATACAAATTAGTTCTTTAGCAATAGTTAATTCTTTAGTTAGGAATTAACTATTAAATTAATCACAAAGAAACAAAAGATATTGAGATACTATTTGCAAGTCAAACTGTCATCATTGTTTTCATTCAGGATTCTCTTTCCCTATCATTTCTGGCATTCTTCATTCTTTTGTGGATATCAGTGTTTCTCAATGGAGAGAGAGGAGGGGTAGAGATAGAAGATATTTTGTGCCCCAAGGGACATTTGGAAATGTCTGGGGATATTTCTTGTTGTCACAATTTGGGTGAGGGGTGTGATTGGTTGCTGCTAGCATTAAGTGAGTAGAGGCCGGGGATGCTGCTAAACATTCTACAATTCACAGGGCAGTCTCTCACAATGAAGAATTATCTAGTCCCCAATGTCAATAGTTGCTGAGGTTGAGAAACTCTAGTATTATCTAAACTTCCATAGGATATCATTTGCCTTTTCTCCAAAGAATTTTCTTTAGCATTTCTAGTAGTTCAGGTTTGCAAGGGACAAATTCTCACAGCCTTTGTTGTTTTGAAAGAAGTATTTCCCCTTCATTTTGGAAAGATATTTTTGTTCAACATAGAATTCTGGGTTGGTGATTTTTTATTGCTTTAAAGATACTGCTCCACTGTCTTTTGTCTTTTGTCTTACATAGTTTCCTTTTCTCTCTCTCTCTCTCTTTCTTTCTTTCCTTCTCTTTCTTAGGTGACAGCTTTATTTTCACTGAGATTAAGTATACACATTTTTGCAATTAAGATTAATTATACAAAAAAATATAAAACATGCCATTTTAAAATAGAACTGTGGAATAGTTTGAATTTTTATCACTACTATATGTAAGTACACATGTTTATTCATAAGCTAAAAGGAAACTCAAATATATATCATAACAGGAAAGAGCACTTCACTAATTTAAGTGATTTTTTTTTCTGTCAACCTCTAACCATTTGCTTACTTGAACTAATGTGATGTGGTTTCGCTGTGTCCCCACCCAAATCTCATCTTGAATTGTAGCTCCTGTAATTCCCACGTGTCATGAGAGGGACTCGGTGGGAGGTAATGGAATCATGGGGATGGGTCTTTCCCATGCTGTTCTCATGATAATGAATAAGTCTCATGAGATCTGATGGCTTTATAAAGGGGCATTCCCCTGCACATGTCCTCTTGCCTGCCACCATGTTTTGCCTTCTGTCTTGATTGTGAGGCCTCCCCAGTCATGTAGAACTGTGAGTCCATTAAACCTCTTTTTCTTTATAAATTATGCAGTCTTGTGTATATCTTTATTAGCATTGTGAGAGCTGACTAATACGTAATGTTTCCATGGTTCATCTTGGTCACTGGCATTGACCAGCAAAAGTCTTTGCATTTCACAGACACATTAAAACCTAAATTATCAACAAAATCCCAAGTAACTTTCTTTTTTTGATATTTTATTCTTTTTTAAATAATTTCAACTTTTATCTTAGATTCAGGGGGTACATATGCAGGTTTGTTAACTTAACTGCCTACCAGAATAAAGTCCAACAAGCTCTAAATAATACAAAAAAATCTGGTACTTAATAATGAAAGTACCTGGGCATATTGTGTAATGCTGAGGATTGAGGTACAATTGATCCCGTCACCCAGATAGTGAGCATAGTATGCAATAGGTAGTTTTTCAACCCCTATTCCCCTTCACTCCCTCCCCTCTCTAGTAGTTCCCAGTTTCTATTGTTCCCATCTTTATGTCCATGTGTACCCAAAAGTTAGCTCCCACTTATAAGTGAGAACATGTGATATTTGGGTTTCTATTTTTGCATTAATTCACTTAGGCTAATGGCCTCTAATTGCATCCATGTTGCTGCAAAGGACATGATTTCATTCTTTTTTATGGATATACATAGTTGTCATTTCTGATCATAGTGTATCTGTTTATTCTCTGGCTACTTTTAAGATTTTTTCTTAATGGTTTTTAGATATTGTATTATGATGTGTGTTGAAGTTTTCCTTGTGTTTCTCTTGCTTGGGGTTGGTTGAGCTTCTTGGATTGTGTGTTTATTGTTTTCATCAGTTTTTGAAAAACTTCAACCATTATTTTTTCAAATATATTTTCTGCCTGCACTTCTCCTTCTGGGAATCCAATTACACATTTGTTAAATACTTCATATTGTTTCATAGGTCATTAAGACTACTAATTTTCTTCAGTCTTTTTCCCCCTCAGTGCTTCATTTTGCATAGTTCCTGCTGCTATGTCTTCAGATTTATCAGCCTTTTCTTATGCACTGTCTAATCTACTTTTAATCACATCCAGTCAGTTTTTTATTCAGATATTGTATTTTTCATTTCTAGAAGTTCCCATCTGATTTGTTTTGATATTTTCCATTTCTTTCCTCGTATGTTCACATTTTCTTTTCTTGTTCTTTTTGTAATTTTTTTTCGAGACAGAGTCTCACTCTATTGCCCAGGCTGGAGTGCAGTGGCTTTATTTCAGCTCACTGCAACCTCTGCCTCTTGGGTTCAAGTGATTCTTGTGCCTCAGCCTCCCAAGCTGGGATTACAGGCACACACCACCACACCTGGCTAATTTTTGTATTTTTAGTAGAGACAGGGTTTCACTATGTTGGCTAGGCTCGTCTCAAATTCCTGGCCTCAAGTGATCTGCCCACCTCAGCCTCCCAAAGTGCTGGGATTACAGGCATAAGCCACCATGATCAGCCTGTGTTCACATTTTCCTTTCAATCCTTGAGCATGCTGAGCATATTTACAATAGTTCTTTAAAAGTTCTTGTTGGTAACTTTCATCATCTCTGTCATTTCTGGGCCTGTTTCTCATCCCTAATTTTTCTTTTGCTTTTGAATCATGCTTTCCTCTTTCTTTGCATGTCTAGTAATTTTTTTTTTGAATGCTGAAAATTGTAAATTTTTCATTATTAAGTACCAGATTTTTTGTATTATTTAGAGCTTGTTGGACTTTATTCTGGTAGGCAGTTAAGTTACTTACAGATCAGCTTAATCCTTTCAAGGCTTAGGGATTGTTGGAGCAGGTTTAGAATCATTACTCTAGGCATAGTTTATCCTTTCACTAAAGCTTTTGATGTCTTTACTGAATGTCCCAGATATTCAGTGAAAAGCCCTCACTCTAGCTGGTTGGACTTGAACATCTCTCAGCCTCATATGAACTCGGAACTGTTCAGTTTACAATTCCCTAGTCAGTTATTCTTTGGACAACTAACTGGAGTTTCACCTTCTACATGCTTGGCTTAGTATTCAGCAACAGACTGAAAGGGATCTTGATGCAGATTTCTAGAATCCTTTCTTTGCATGGCTTCCTTGTCTCCTGCAAACTTCGGCTGACTCAATTTTCCAAATTTCAGTTTCTCTTTCTTTAACTCAGAAATATCATCTACTCTGCTTAGGATTCCCTTTCTTGCTCCATGGCTCAGAAACTGCCTTCAGGTAGGAAACCAAGGTGATTGCAGGGCCTACATGATTTGTGTCCTTCTCTCAGGGACCAGAGTCCTGCACTGCCTGTTGTCCAATGTCAGAAAACAGTTGCCTTATATATTGTGTCCAATTTTCTAGTTGTTTATGATAAAAGGGTAAGTCTGGTTCTGGTTATTCCATCATAGTCAGTATTATTTTTATTATCAGAAAGAAAATCTTTAAAAAATTAAACATTTTTAGATATAAATAAAATTTCTGATCTGAGATTAAAAGCTATAATCCTACCTGTAATGTACTCTGTATTTTTGACTCATAATTTCAGTTTTTAATAAAAAATTTTAGGCTCAGCTTTAGATAACTTGACAGACTTTTATGTCACTGCTAAAATTGTTGTAACTGAGAAATTAGCTTACATCTATTGACTTGGCAACAGATCATAAGGACTTAGAAATGTCTACTAACTTTATTTCAATTTGAATACTATCTTGAGCCAGACTTCTTCTTCTTTTTTTTTTTTTTTTTGAGACAGAGTTCCACTCTTGTTGCCCAGGCTGGAGTGCAATGGCATGATCTCGGCTCACTGCAACCTCTGCCTCCCGGGTTCAAGTGATTCTCCAGCCTCAGCCTCCTGAGTAGCTGAGATTACAGGCACCTGCCACCATGCCCAGCTAATTTTTTGTGTTTTTAGTAGAGACGGGGTTTCGCTATGTTGAACAGGCTGCTCTCAAACTCCTGACCTCAGGGGATCCACCCACTTTGGCCTCCCAAAGTGCTGGGGTTACAGGTGTGAGCTACCACGCCCGGCCGAGCCAGACCTCTTAATGTTATGGTCTTCATATAGAAAAATAATCTTTCCAAAACAACCAGAGACCGATTTTCCTCTTGTTAGTGTTATTAAGACTTATTCAATCTTCCTTCTCTAAGTGCTTGTTTTTCTTGTTAAAGTATTACACAGAAAGAATTACCCAGCTGGCCCAGAGTAAATATTTACACATGCTTAGGTGGAAGAGGTTTTGCCAACACAGTAAGATCATGGAGCAACTTTATCCTCTTTACAAGGTAGAAAGTCTATGAACAGAACCTCTGGGCTATTTTTTATGTTGAAACAAAATGGCCAATAAGCTTGTCAGTTTTTTAAAAGTCACAGCTAAAGATAGAAAAGAAATTAATGGATGTGCCTTCTCGCCTGTTCTACCAATGACAGAAGGTAATGGTAAAGGTAAACTATTCTTAAGAATAAGATTTGAAGGAAGTTTTGTATGAGAGGAAATGTATTTTTCTTCACAGACTTAGCTTCCTCAGCTTTAGGTAAAAAGTTCAGAAGCTGACTCCAGTTATAAGTATCCCTATGCACTGACTCTTTGCTTGGAGTCTGTCTCCTTCAAAGTCCTAAGAATATGACCACTGCCCTTTTAAGTCAAATTCAGAATATGGAAGAACTTTGGGATTCAAAGAACCCCTTTATTTAGACCCAAAACAACATTACCCTATGCTTGGAAGCAAATGATACAGAGCATAAGGCTTGCAAATAACCGAGTTCTATCTCTGTATCTCTCTTAAACAGAAACAAGTTGGCTACATTATGCAGGAGTACAATGATGCCCTTCAGAGAGCTGAAAGGTTGTCTGTTGCGCGAGAAAACTTCCTCATGGGAAAAAGCAATCCTCCTAACTTAGTGACACAGGAAGATCTGACTGTCTATACAAAGTGGTTAGTGTGCCACCTGCAGTCTCTCAGGACTGTTCACCAGTACCTGCAGGTATGTGAAGCACAGTGACGTGATGGTGTGGCACCCTTCCAGGGATGATCAGTACATTGTTTTCTCACATCTGTCACTTAGTTTTAGATTGTCACTGTTTCAGGACTCCACCTGCCCTACAAATGACAGAAACATAATGGGTCACTGGATTTCTCTTTGAAACCTTAGACATTTTTCTCTTTTGTAACTTTATTCTACTGAAATAATTAATTTCGCTTTCTCGAAGACATCTCTGTTTACTATTTCATATTCACTCTGGAAGTTCTTGTCTTCACCATCTTGTTCAGAATTTGTGCTCTCTGATTTAGATCCACTTTTTAAATATTAGGTAATGTTTAATGAGGGTCTAATATGTGCCAGGTACTTGTCCTAGGCATGCAGCAAGGATACGGCCTTTGCTGAAAAGTAACTGGGTCCTCGGCTGGTAGGAAGATGGGTAAGTAAATATTCAACTGAAATACAATGGGGTAACAAAGCACAGGATAAGTATAAGCATAGGGTAAAGAGAGTCACAGAGAGGCCCTAAGTCAGGCTAGAGGCGTCAGAAAGGAGTAACATGATCACATTTCCATTTTGGAAAGATTACTGTTTTTCTACACACATCTTTCCCTACTTCTCTTTGCCTTAGCTCAGAGACACCATCATCCACGGAATTGCCCAAATCAGAAACCTGGCTTCATCCTTTCCCCACACCCAGCCAGCCACTATGGGCTCTGCCTCTGATACATTTCTCACCAGTCACATGGTGTTATAACAATCTGCTTGTAAGTCTGGGTCTTCTAGTAAACCGTGAGCTCTTTGAGGTTGTATCCTGTCTTATTCCTCTTTGTATCCCTAGCACCTCACAAGTGCCTTGTCCATTTTGGATCCTTGATCAAAGTAGACCTGTTTGGAGGTTAAGGCCACTCAGAGTCAGTAACAGTACTAGGTCTCCGAGCTCCAAATGTAGCCCCTCATCATTGGGCAGGTTACTGAGGCTCCACCTCTACTTCTATTCTTCCCTCCCAAAGCAAAGGGCTGCTCCTGAACCTGAGTCTGGAAGCTTCTGTGAGAATTGTGTTGATGTTTGGCCTCTTGGTCTTGCCCTTCTGTAGGCCCTTCAGTATTTGCCCATCTCCAAAGTGCTAAGTGTAGCTGTCAACCAAGTCGCTGAAGTTGGTCAGAAAAATGAAAAGGTCTGTGTCAATGACATTGACCCTGACATTCAGGGTCCTGCGTCTCCTGACCCTGTGGATACCAGCATTTCTGGTAAGAAATTAGTCTTCTTTCCCCTCGGGTAATGTGGAGCAAAGAAGATTGTAATTTTAGACTTATGCTGGTTGTCCCATGATCTTGCTAAAAATTGTTCTATATACCAAAAGGTTTTATCTTCTTAATAGACAAATCTTAATTTAATATTTTCAGATGGGAAAAAATAACAAACACTTTTTAAGACATGTTTTAATCTCTGTCTTTATAATTAGCAAGTTAAGAGTGAGAGAAAAAAATGGACTTAAAGTCAGCAGTACTGGGCTCTAGGCTTGTCCTGGCCTCACTGTGGGCCTGAATTTCATTTCCTTGGCCCTCAATTTGGTCATCTCCATAATACACCTTTCAGCATCAGTGATCTCTAAGGCTCCTTCCAGTTTTCATATTACATAAATCTAAAATAATTTCTTCATCTGAATAAAATTAATGCAGTTTTCCTGCCCTTACCTTGTGTTATAGATGACTAAGAAACCTGATAAGATTTCTACTCTGAGTGACATTCTTGCTTGGATGCACAGAGTGTCCTGGGAGTGCCTGGGAGAGGTAGCCAAACCCAGCTGTGGGGCATCTGAGAAGGCTTCTTGAAGGAGGGGAGTTCAAACTGGGTCCTTAGAGATGAGGGGGAGCTAGCTATGTGAAAGCAGCTGAAGGCTCTCACCTTCTTCTAATTTGTTGGATAAATTTATAAATAATGTTCTTCATTTACCACAAAGTAGACAATTCTGCTCCAAGTCATTCCCCAAAAGGTCTGTTGGGTTTCTCCTGTAGGCTGTGAGATGGCAAGGAGTCCTTGCTGCCTCCTGCAAAAGCCCAGCTCCAAGAATTTGTCAGATCCACCTGGCCAAGTAGGGTGCAGACTGTAAATTGCGGCAGAAAATGTTGGCAAAGGAGCAGAATGGGCATCCCGTCAGTAGAGGAGCTCCTACTTCTAGCTGTCTCAAAGGACTCTCCATTTTCTCTCCCTGACAGTATTCATTGGTCTTAATGCTCTTGATTTTGGTTTTCTTCAGGGCCAATGAGAACAGAAGCTGCTTTTGTCCTCCCCCAACACACAACAGAAACAGGAGAACTGAAACCTCAGCTAAAGCTCCTGCTCTCCCATTTCGATATCCCATGTGACGTGGAAGAGCTATGGGACTCTGCTAAGGAAATGGAACTTTTTTCCTTGGTATTTGATATACTTTTTCTTAATACAAATATAGGTGTTCATGAAAGAAAGTACTGCTATTTTCCACAGAGTTGCACCTTTTACTACCAACAATTGTTTCGAGAGTGATCATATAAAGTAGTAATAGGTGAAATTTTGATTAGCAGTTAGGAAAAGTTTCCTCTGTAAGAGTAATGGGACTCAAATAGTGAACCCAGAAGGATTTCAGGACTTGTTTTTCTGCAGAACTTAAAGCAAAAGTAGTGTATGGTCTATAGTAGATGATGTAAATATTTGGCAAATTTGCTTGGCAGAGTTGTCAATTGGAGGGCAAAAAAGCCCTCCAATTCTCAAAATGTATTGCAATAGCTTTCCTTATTGACAAAATGCTTTATATTTAATAGCAGGTACCTTGTGTAGTGATGTTTAAAGTCATGCAGTCTTCTCTGCTATAACACAGTGTTGTACTTCCTGAAATGAAGACAACTCATATTATCAAAAGCCATGTTAAAACTTGTTTCAAAGGGGGCTGGGCATGGTGGTTCATGTCTGTAATCCCAGCACTTTGGGAGGTTGAAGCAGGGGATCACTTGAGCCCAGGATGGGCAGCATAGTGAGAACCTGTCTCAAACAAACAAACAAACAAACAAAACTTGTTTCAAAGAGAAGAATAGGACTATAGGTAGATAGCTTCAGATTTTAAAAAATATTTTCTTGAGATGGAGTCTTGTTCTGTCACCCAGGCTGGAGTGCAGTAGTGCAATCTCAGCTCAGTGCAATCTCTGCCTCCTGGGTCCAAGAGATTCTCCTGCCTCAGCCATGCCCAGCTAATTTTTGTATTTTTGGTAAAGATGGGGTTGCCATATTGGCCAGGCTGGTCTTGAACTACTGGCCTCAGGTGATCTGCCCGCCTTGGCCTCCCAAAGTGCTGGGATTACTGGCATGAGCCACCGCACCTGGCCAAACTTCAGATTTATAATAACAAAAATTTCAACAATAAAGATTTTTCTAGCTCTAGCTGTATATTATTTGCAAGTATACATATTTCTAGGTAAAAATAAGAAATTGATGGATCCAAACAGGTAAAAATAAGATCTGAATCGTTTTGAATGCTCTTTATGTAAGAAGTAAGCTACTGTCTGTGCTATCACCATTTGCGTGAGTTTGAAATTTCACTTGCATTTCCATTTGTTCCAGCATAATTTTACCAGGATTTTGTGTGTGTGTGTGGAGGGGGTGTTTTGTTTTGTTTTGTTTTTAGGCAGAGTCTCAATCTGTCACCTAGGCTGGAGTACAGTGGCACAATCTCAGCTCACTGCAACCTCCACCTTCCAGGTTCAAGCAATTCTCCTGCCTCGGCCTCCCAAGTATCTGGGATTACAGGCATGTGCCACCATGCCCAGCTAATTTTTGTATTTTTAGTAGAGACAGGGTTTTACTATATTGGCCAGGCTGGTCTTGAACTCCTGACCTCAAGTGATCCTCCTGCCTCGGCCTCCCAAATGGCTGGGATTACAGGCATGAGCCACCGCTCCCGGCCCAGAATGATTTTTATTAGTGTGTAACACAGACAGCCTCTTTAAGCTCACTGGAACCAGTGGTATCACATGTCCTCTTGTCTCCTTGAAGGTGATGATGTTTAGCTTTTGCCTTTCTTTTCATGCCACCAGCAGCACTATCTCCAGCAGAGTGTTTCTGTGGGAGTGTCCTCACCCTTATTATCATCAAGGATTATGATAGGCGAAACACAGAATCAGAATATGATGGTGTTTAAGAAGAACCAAAAAAAATAAAGGTTAATTATAGCCCAGGAGACTATTATTAATGATAAACGAGAGAACAGAAGCCTGGCGGAGCACTCCAACAAAGCCATGTTTTTCCCAAAGAGCAGCTTGTCTCCTTTTTATGGTGATAATTTCCACTTTTAATTTTCTTACGACAGTATTAGGTGAAACACTAATTGTGTTCCAAGATAACCAATCACATTACATCAACTTTTTTGCCTAGGAAGAGTTCCTGTGTTTAGGTGCTGTTTATTCTGATACTCTAATGCCTGAGAGCAGGGTCAGCAAACTACAGCCCTCACCTGTTTTCTTAAAATAAAGTTGTTTTGGAATACAGCAGTCTTAGGTTCATTCAGGCTGCTCTAACAAAATACCATAAACGGAGTGGCTTCTAAACAACAGAAATGTATTTCTTACAGTTCTGGAGGCTGGAAAGTTCAAGATCAAGGTAGTCTGATGTCTGGCGAGGGCCCACTTTCTGGCTCATAGGTGGTGCCTTCCTGCTGTGTCCGCACATGGTAGAAGGCAAGAGTCTCTCAGGCTTCTTTTATAAGGGCACTAACCCTATTCGTGAAGCCTTCACCTTCATGACCCAATCACCTCCCCAAATTCCCATCTCCTGATACCATCACTTTGGGTTTAGGATTTCAACACATGAATCTTGTGGGGACACAAACATTCAGACCCTAACAACAGCCATGCCTATTCATGTATGTATTTTCTATGGCTGCTTTCACACTACAACAGCAGACTTGAGTAGCTGTGACAGAGACCTTGTGGTCAGTAAAGGCTAAAATACTTACGATCTGGCCCTTTAAGGAGTTTGCCAACCCAGTCATAGGCCAGCACTGTCTCACTGAACTTATAGAAGCGATGGAGCGTTCTGCCTTTGCACTGTCCCACGTTAACCACTAGTCACATACACTAATAGTTATCTGAGCACTTGGAATGTGGTTAGCGCAACTGAAGAACAAGATTTCAAATTTTGTTTAATTCTAATTAATTAATAATGTTAAACAGCCACATGTGGCTAGGGGCAACAGCACTGGATAGCCCAAACTCAGAGGTAGCAGCGTTATTACTAGAAGAATCTTCAGCTCTGTGACTCACAAATTTGCTCACTCATTCCAGAAACCTTTGTTGAGGCCCTAGTATGTGTCAGCACTGTGGTAGGTTCTTACTGTGTGTGTACATGTGCACGCATGAGTGGTAAAATAACATAACGAAATTTACCATTTTAGCCATTGTAAGTGTTCAGTTCAGTGGCATTAAGTACACTCACGTTGTTGTGTGGTCACCACCTTGTGGTGAATTCTTGACATTCATAGTCTATACCCTGAATGGGGCTCACCATGTAGTGAGGAAATCCTGACCCAACGTGGCAAATATAATGATAAAGGTGCCACCACAGGGGCCCACCCTGGAGGGGGAAGAAGGAATGTTTAGCATTTTGACAGTAGGAATTGATGTTGTAGAAAGCACTTGTAGCCTCAGTCTGAAAGTAAGCTATGAAAGGAATAGGTTGAGATGCCTTAAAGAGTTTAACAGGTTCTAGCATCTGGACTCCTCTCTAGCCACATCCTTGTCAGGCCTCTGAGAGCAGGATTTATTTAATCCTTAGATAGTCTATAATAGTTTATTGGGTTGTCGGAAAAAGTGAATGCATTTCCAAAGGTAGACAATTTACTTCTCACTTATATTTAGGTTCCAGTTCAAAATATATATAAATAAATACATTAATATATTTCCAGTCGCTGGAGCAGACATTCAGAACAGGTAATACACACAATTATGGTAATGAGCTGACTGAGAACATGCGCCACACAGGTATGCCCATTTAAGGTCTTGTCACTGTCACAGAGTCGTGTTTTATAAATTAGTTGGATTCCAAGGCTATTTCAAAGACAATCAGTAGCTGTTTTTGAAATTGCCCACTCTCTGAGACTTTTTTTTTCTGGGTTCCACTTCTCACTTCATCCTGTTTAGGTTTCCCAAAAATTTCAAAGCATCTTCATGGAGCAACAGAGATTGCAAACGTTTCCAGACTATGAAGCTGGAATAGCTAAAGCAGATAATTTGGGTTTGGCAGGGCCCAGAATGACCCTGAAAAAGAGAGCCAACTGGATTTCCTTCATAAAGGTAAGGAGACTTGTGGTGATAGTCATCTATCAGTGATGTCAGCAGTGTCACAGTGTCATCTAAGCAGGCTAGGCAACCTGGCAGCACCAGGTTTATGTTGTCCCTGTTGTCCTCTCTCCTTAGTGCCCTCAGCAAACTGTCCTCTTTGACTAGGGGAGACGCTTCCGTGTCCTCAGTTGAGGCAACTCGGAGAACCTGGCCTTGTGTGCCACACTCTTCCAGCTCTTTGCCTGCCTTGGCTCTGTGTCGAAGTTTGCTATGCTGATCTGCCTTCCCTGAAGGCTTTCCAGATGCCTGTACCCCACTCTGATGGGCCCAAACTCCCTGCTTATTACTAATGATCTCAGATACTTGGCAAGAGCTAAGCTTATTATCCAAGGGTGTGATTGACTTGTGTAAATCCAATCGTTGAGTCAAAAACTATTTATTTGGTACATATTGTATATCAGGTATGGCCCTTCATGCTGGAGATACACAATTCACAAACAATATGCAAGTAAGCAAACTAAATAAGATGATTTTAGGTAGTGCTAACTATGGTCAGTTCCTGTTATTCAAGGTAGTTTTGCTCTGGAAAGTCACCATGAACACTGAGTTAGCAAACATTGAATCGTTACCTCTAGGGGAAATAGAGTTAGTTCCTGTGAACCTCTCATCGGAACACTCATCAATACATAACTGTTTTACGTGTGTTTCTGTTTAATGACATCTTATTTAAAATATATTGTTGATTCATTAACATTGAACTAATGACTAACAGCACTATAATTCATGCCTGAATGAAGCTTATCTAACACATGTAGTTTTTCCAAAAGGCACATCACACAGCCTTCTTATGCTTAGAAACATTAGACATTACTTTGGCACTACCCATGGAGACCATTTTCAACAGTAAAATGACCACCAAAAAGCACAAAAATGTGAAGAATGTGGCACTAAACGGACCACGAAAAGGATCCTTGTTAGTAATATGCAAGCAGAAACAAGAAGACAGAGTGTTGCCTTGTTCAAATTGAGTTGAGAATATGCGCATAGGGTGACGCAAATTTTCACTACCCTGCACACGCCTATGAGTGACTATGAAAGCTCCACTAGTATTGAGTTTTGGGTCACAAAAAATGTTAGATAGTAGGCAAAATCACAAATGTGGAATCCACAAACAACAAGGATTGATTGTATTATGAAGAAAAGAAAAATCTGGGCCAGGTACGGTGGCTCATGCCTGTAATCCCAGCACTTTGGGAGGCCAAGGTGGGCGGATCATGAGGTCAAGAGATTGAGACCATCCTGGCCAACATGGTAAAACCTCCTCTCTATTAAAAAAAAAAAATACAAAAACTAGCTGGGTGTGGTGGTACGTGCCTATAGTCCCAGCTACTCAGGAGGCTGAGGCAGGAGAATCACTTGAACCCGGGAGGTGGAGGTTGCGGTGAGCCGAGATTGTGCCACTGCACTCCAGCCTAGCGACAGAGTGAGACTCCATCTCAAAAAATAAAATAAAATAAAATAAATCTTGTATGATTGTTTTAGTCTATTCAGGCTGCTTTAACAAAATACCATTAACTGGGTAGCTTATAAAGAACAGAAATATATTTCTCACAGTTCTGGAGACTGGGAAGTCCAAGATCAGGGGGCCAGCATGGTCAAGTTCTGGAAGGTCCTCTTCCAAGCTATAGACTTCTGACTTCTCCCCATATCCTCACACGGTGGAAGAAAAAAGCCAAAGTCCCTCAGGCCTCTTTTGTAAGGGCATGAATACTGTTCATGAGAGCTCTACCATCATGATCTAATCGCATCCCCAAATTCTATTACTAATGCCATCACCTTGGGCGTTAGGTTTCATCATTTAAATTTTAGAAGAACACATTCAGACCATAGGAGTAAATAAAGATAGACTGAGAGAAATCAAAGATTGCTCCTAAGTCCATTTAGTGCTTGAGGAACAAGGTAGTCCATGTAAGGGAAGCTGGACTTTCTGTTTTAGATGGTTACGCTTGATATCCAAGAATAGATATCAAAGGAGTAGTTGGATATAATAGGCTGGAGTTTAGGGCTGAGATATAAATTTGAGTGTTAATGGTATTTACAGCAACAGAAGTTACTTTTGAAATACAGTTTATTAATATGAAAGATGTTTTAAATGTGGAGTCACAAGGAGTCTGTGGGTGAACTTCTTTTGCCCTGTAAATAAAGTGCAATGACCAACTCTGATGGATTTAGGGTTCCTGCTGCTTGTGGATGTTATGGTGTCATCCCAGATGGATCTACTGCATCTTATAGGCCAGGCACCAACAAGAACTGGTGCTGCTGTCTCCTTCAATGGATCTGTGAACCCATGAAGACCCTTTCCAAAAGCTCACTTGTCCTAGCCAACCTAGCACCAAAGCCAGATACCATTTCAGAAGGTCCTTGAATCTCTTTGCCTGCAACTTTTATTGAGAATCATTCTGTTATGTTGTAACTTTGTGTGAACGTGTTTGTCCACTAGATCAAGCCAAAATGTGATCCATGGCAAAGGAAGCTTTTGACTAAATTAAAAGAACGGAGAAGAACAGATGCATTATTGCAACTCCAAGCAAAATTTTTGAAGGTGAGAAAATAACTACATTTCCTTGTAGATAAGATTTTTGCTAAAATCATTCACAAAATATGGAATTTTCTTTCCCTTTTTAAAAATGTTGGCATGGATTCACTACAACAGCTTTATTTGAAACTTTCTCTTTTCTTTTCTTTTTTTTTTTTTTTGAGACAGAGTCTTGCTCTGTCACCCAGGCTGGAGTGCAGTAGCACGATCTCAGCTCACTGCAACCTCTGCCTCCCGGGTTCAAGCAATTCTCCTGCCTCAGCCTCCCTAGCAGCTGGGATTATAGGTGTGCACCACCATGCCCAGCTAATTTTTGTATTTTTGGTAGAGACAGGGGTTTCACCATATTGGCTAGGCTGGTCTCGAACTCCTGACCTCAAGTGATCCGCCCACTTTGGCCTCCCAAAATGGTAGGATTACAGGTGTGAGCCACTGCACCTGGCCTTATTTGAAACTTTCTAATCTAATTGCCACACTTTCAAAACCTTGTTAGCTTTCAGTAAAGAATAAAAAATTGTCAAAAAGCTGGACTTTAGGGCCAGGCACAGTGACTCATGTCTGTAATCCCAGCACTTTGGGAGGCAAAGGCAGGAGGATTGTTTGAGCCCAGGAGTTCAAGACCAGCGTAGGCAACAAAAAGAGACTCTGTCTCTACAAATTCTTTTTTTAAAAAATTAGCCAGAAGTGGTGAAATACACCTGTAGTCCCAGGTACTCGGGAGGCTGAGGTGGAGGATTGCTTGAGCTCAGGAGGTCAAGGTTGCAATGAGCTATGATTGCATCACTGTACTCCAGCCCGGGTGAGAGCATGGGACTCTGTCTTAAACAACAACAACAACAAACAACAACAACAACAACAAAAGCAAAACCCAAAAAACTGGATTTTAGTCCAGTTTTAACACCAACTCTCTGCGCAGTATTTGTCTAGTCATGTAACCTCCTTTAGCCTTAGCTTCTTTATTTGTGAAACAAAATATTAAACTAAATTATCTTTTAAAATATTTTAATTGACAAAAATTGTACATAATTATGGGGTACAGAGTGATATTTTGATACATACAATGTATAATTATCAAGTCAAGGTAACTAGTATATCCATCTTCTCAAACATCTATTATTTATTTGCCCTGGGAACATTCAAAATCCCCTTTTCTAGCTATTTGAAAATATGCAATAAATTATTGTTAACTATAGTCACCTTACAGTGCTATGGAACACAATAACTTATTTTCCCTGTCTACTGATAATTTTGTATCCTTTAAACAATCTCTCCCTATCCCATCCCCCCCCACCCCCGAGCCTTAATAATCGCTATTCTACTTTCTACTTCTATGAGATCAACTTTTTTAGCTTCTGAAAATGAGTAAGAACATGTGGAGAAGATGAGTAAGAACATGTATTTACCTTTCAGTGCCTGGCTTATTTCACTTAACATAAAGTCCTCCAAGCTCATCAGTGTTGTTGCAAATGACAAGATCTCATTCTTTTTATGGTCAAATAGTATTCCATTGGGTATATATAACACATTTTCTTTATCCATTCATCTGTTAATGGATACTTTTATCTTGGTTATTGTGAATAGGGCTGCAATAAACATGGGAGTACAGATATCTGTTCAACATACTGATTTCCTTTTTTAAAAATTTATACCCCATAGTGAGATTGCTGGATCATGTTGTAGTTCTAGTTATAGGTTTTAGGGGGACCTCCATACTTTTTTCAATAATGGCTATAGTAATTTATAAGTCCAACAGTGTATAAGAGTTGTCTTTTCTCTGCATCTTTGCCAGCATTTGATTTTTTTTTTTTTTGTCTTTTTGTTAATAGCCATTCTAACTGGAATGAGATTATATCATACTGTGGTTTTTGATTTGCATTTGATGATTAGTAATGTTGAGCATTTTTTCATATACTTCTTGGTCATTTGAATGCTTTCTTTTGAGAAATATCCATTCAGGATCATTTTCCCATTTTTAAATCAGATTATTTGTGTGTGTGTGTATGTTTGTGTATTTAGTCTGATATAATCCCACTTGTCTATTTTTGCTTTTGTTGTCTGTGCTTTGGAGATTATATCCTTAAAATCTTTCCCCAGACCAATGTCCTGAAGTATTTCTCCTTTTAGTTTCTTCTAATAGTTTTATAGTTCAGAGTCTTATATTTAAATCTTTAGTCCATTTTGAGTTGAATTTTGTATACGGTGAGAGATAAGGGTCTTGTTTCATTTTTCTGCACATCCAGATATCCAGTTTATCCAGCACCATTTATTGAAGAGACTGTTCTTTCCCCAATGTTTGTTTTTGGTGCCTTTGTTAAAAATTGGTTGGCTGTAAATATGTGGATTTATTTCTGGGTTCTCTATTCTGTTTCATTGATCCATGTACCTATTTTTATGCCAGTACCATGCTGCTTTAGTTACAGTATATTTACAGTGTATTTTGAAGTCAGATAATGTGATGCCACCAGCTTTGTCCTTTTTAGTCAGGATTACTTTGTTTGTTTGGGTCTTTTGTGGTTCCACACACATTTTAGGATTATTTTTTCTATTTCTGTGAAGAACGTCAGTGGTGTTTTGATAGGGATTGCTTTGAATCTGTGGATCAATTTGGGTATGGTCATTTTTAACTATATTAATCTTTTCAATCCATGAACATGATATTTCTTTCCATTTTTTTGTGTCTTCTTCCATTTCTTTCATTGGTACTTCATAGTTTTATTGTGGAGATCTTTCACCTTCTTGGTTAGTTTTATTCCTACATAATATTTTTTATAGCTATTGAAAATGTAATTGCTTTCTTGGTTTCTTTTTCAGCTAGTTTGTTATTGGTGTATAGAAATGCTAATAATTTTTGTATGTTGATTTCGTATCCTGAAATTTTACTGAATTTGTCTGTCAGTTCTAAGAGTTTTTGGCAGAGTCTTTAGGTTTTTCCACAGATAAGATCATATTGTCTTCAAAAAGACAATTTGACTTCCTTTTTTTCCAATTTGAATGCCCTTTGTTTTTAATTTTGCCTAGTTGCTCTGGCTAGGACTTCTAGTACAGTGTCAAATTGTAGTGGGGAAAGTAGACACCTTTATATCATTCCAACTATTAGAGGAAAAGCTTTCAACTTTTCCTCATAATGTTAGCTGTAGGTTTGTCATATGTAGACTTTATAGTGCTGAGGTAAATTTATTCTATGCCTAATTTGTTGAGAGTTTTTATTATGAAGGGATGTTGAATTTTATCAAATGCTTTTTCTGTGCCTATTGAAATGATCATGTATTTTTGTTTTTAATTCTCTTTGTGTGATGTGTCATGTTTATTGATTTATGTATATTGAATCATCCTTGGATTGCTGGGATAAATCTCACTTGAACATGGTGTATTAATCTTTTTGGTGTGCTGTTGGATTTGTTTTAGTACTGTTTTGTTGAAGATTTTTGCATCTATGTTCATCAGGAATATTAGCCTGTAGTTTTCTTTTTTTTTTTTTTTTTGTTCTGTTCTTGTCTGGGTTTTTTATTAGGGTAATATTGGCCTTGTAGAATGAATTTGGAAGAATTCCCTCCTTTTCATGTTTTTGGAATAGTATGAGAAGAATCCACATCAATTCTGTAAAAGTTTGGTAGATTTGGCGATGAAGTCATCCAGTTCTTGGTTTCTCTTTGTTGAGAGACTTTTTGTTACTGATGCAGTTGTGTTCCTTGTTATTGGTCTATTGAGGTTTTCTCCTTCTTCCTGGTTCAATCTTGATAGGTTGCATGTGTCCAGGAGTTTACCCATTTCCTCTAGGTTTTCCAATTTGTTGGCATAGAGTTGTTTATAATAGTCTTTAATGGTCCTTGTTTTTGTTTTTGTTTTTGTTTTTTTTTTTTTTTTTTTGTGAGACGGAGTTTCCCTCTTGTTGCCCAGGTTGGAGTGCAATGGCACAATCTCGGTTCTCCACAACCTCTGCCTCCCGGGTTCAAGTGATTCTCCTGCCTCAGCCTCCCAAGTAGCTGGGATTACAGGCACCCGCCACTGTGCCCAGCTAATTTTCTATTTTTAGTGGAGATGGAGTTTCTCCATGTTGGTCCGGCTGCCCTCGAATTCTCGACCTCAGTTGATCCACCAGCCTCAGCCTCCCAAAGTGCTGGGATTACAGGTGTGAGCCACCGCACCCAGCCTGATTCTTGTATTTCTGTGGTATCAGTTTTAATGTCTCCTCTTTCATTTTTAATTTGATTTATTCAGATCTTTGTTTGTTAGGTAGTCTAGCTAATGGTTTTTCAATTTTATCTTTTTAAAAAGTCAGCTTTTTGTTTCATTGATCTTTTGTATTGTTTTTAGTTTTTAATTTATTTCTGCCCTGATTTTTATTATGTATTCCCTTCTAGTTATATTGGATTTGGTTTGTTCTTGCTTCTTTAGTTCCTTGAGTTGCATCAGTAGGTTGTTAATTTCAAAATTTACTACTTTTTGGCGTAGGTGTTTATTGCTATAAACTTCCCTCTTATACTGCTTTTGCTGTATCCTATAGGTTTTGGTATGTTATGTTTCTTTTCTTTTCTTTTCTTTTTTTCAGACAGAGCCTCACTCTGTCGCCCAGGCTGGAGGGCAGTGGCATGATCCTGGCTCACTGCAATCTCCACCTCCCAGATTCAAGCAATTCTCCTGCCTCAGCCTCCTGAGTTACTGGGGTTACAGGTGCCTGCCTCCACGCCCGGCTAAATTTTTATTTTTAGTAGAGACGAGGTTTCAGCATGTTGGCCAGGCTGGTCTTGAACTCCTGACCTCAGGTGATCCACCGGCCTCGGCCTCCCAAAGAGCTGAGATCACAGGTGTGAGCCACCACACCTGGCCAGCATGTTGTGTTTCTATTTTCATTAGTTTCAATAAATTTTTAAAAATTTGCTTTTTAATTTCTTTATTGACCCATTGGTCATTCAGGAGTATGTTGTTTAATTTCCGTGAGTTTATGCCATTCCCAAAGTTTCCCTTGTTATTGATTTCTAGTTTTATCCCATTGAGGTCTGAAAAGA